TGTGTGTGTGTGTGTGTGTGTGTCTGTGTGTCTGTCTGTGTGTGTGTGTCTGTGTGGTCAGGTGAGCGAGGCGGGCGTCCACAGGCCTCACGTCGGTGGGATTCACGGACGCAGTAACGATGGCTCGTACTCGCTGGTGCTCGCTGGAGGATTCGAGGATGAAGTTGTGAGTGTTTCTTCACTTCAGATCAGCATTAACCTTATAAAACCTACTGTATCGTATTTAATAATCAGCCTGATCAGACTTTGCAGTTAAACCTGTTTCACACTCGATCTCCTCCACGTCTTCTGTCTCTGATTGATAGAGTGTTTTATCCAGTCAAAGCTCTTTTAGTGTAATTGTACAAGCGTCATAAAGATCTCACTGATTTACATTACAAGCAGCAGAATTTCATCATAGAAATATCAGCATCTGCAGCAAACTCATATTTTTGCTCAGTTTGAGTCTCTGAATAAATTTGAGCTTCATATTCTCACTCTATCAGACTATATGAGCCAGAAAAGCCTGACGAGTCAAATATATTTAACAAAAAAACAAATATGCAATTTTTATTTTTATTTTATAAAAATATTCTCTCTATGAAAGCTTGTTTCTGCCACAGAATAAAAAATAAATAATAAAAGGTAATTGCATCTTTATCTCACAATCTGAATTTTTTCTCAGAATTGTGAGATAAAAATAATTTTTTTGTTCTGTGGTGGAAACTAAAAAAAAAGAATTGCAAAGAAGAAAGGCAAAATTGCAAAAGCTGTAAACTCATATTTAGATATAAACTAAATTCTGAGAAGATGAGTCAATTTTGAATTTTGCCTGTTATTTCATATGTGTGTGTTGGTGTGGTTTCAGGACCGGGGCGATGAGTTCACCTACACCGGCAGCGGAGGTCGCGACCTTTCAGGAAACAAGCGTATCGGCGAGCACTCGTTCGATCAGACGCTCACACACATGAACAGGTGATCCTGCAGCGTCTCAGCTTCACATGTCTCAATGCATATAAATTGTGGCGGCATGTGCTCCTTCTTGACCTCTGTTTTTGTGTTTTTGAGATCGTGTTGTGTGTGTGTGTGTGTGTGTGAGAGTGTGTGTGTGTGAGTGAGAGTGTGTGTGTGTGAGTGAGAGTGAGTGTGAGTGTGTGCATGTGGGTGTGTGTGTGTGTGTCTGTTTGTGAGAGTGTGTGTGTGTGTGTGTGTAAAAAAAACATATAACGTGAAAAACAATAAAATGTTTGAGATGGCTTAAATTTAACACTGAAACTATGCAGTAAAATCATAAGAAAAAAGAACAAAGTTAAAATACAAATAAGTTATCAAAACTACAGTAGCTGCTTGTGTAATATCCGTCATGTCACTCATATTAATGCTGTCATATCTTGTGTAGCGCATTGTTGAGTGTGAGCTGTGTTTGTTTGTGTGTCTCAGTATCCTCCTGGTTATCTGGAGGCCATGGCCAATAAGACGAAGCGCGAGGCGACGGTGCGATCGGTGGGCGGCTCGACGCGTGGCAGGAAGAGAGGACGACCCCGAACCACACGACCGTCCAAGAGAGTCCAGGAGGAAGAGGAGGAGAAACCAGCGGAGAACACTGAGGAAGAGTTGCAGAGCAACGGCAGCGCAGACGCTCACGAAGAAGAAGAGGAGAACACAGGTGCAGTCACACACGCCACATCTGTGTGCTTCTGTGCGATTATACAGCTGTGTGAACACGTGTGTGTGTGTGTGTGTGTGTGTGTGTGTGTGTGTTTGTGTGTGTGTGTGTGTGTGTGTATCTGTGTGTGTGTGT